GCACTCACAGCGGGGGCCCCGGAGAGAAGAGATCTTTGGTTCTCTGTATGTATCCTGCAGATTGACCTAAACATCTCTGTTTCCCTTTGTAGAAACTTAACTGGAGAAATAAGGAATATTTTTATTAAATATAAAGTGCTTTAATTTTAGAAACCAAAATGTTGTTTCTCACCTTGCTTTTGTACAGGATCAAAAATGTGCACCCAACTCAAACATGCCCAAAACTGGATTTATTTATTGCCTGTAAGTAACTTTATCTAAAGTCTCAGTCTCCAACCTGCTAGCGGATGCATTGAGAAGAGGAATGGAAAGGAGGAGAGTGCATAGGTAATGAGGAAGAGTTTAACCAGAGATTGTTTTTAAAGTGCGAGTCTAAGGAAATCAACAAAAAGCCCTACAGCGTCATAGGCTAACTATAGCTGGAAGCCCAATCAGAGCCAGTGCTGGGAGTAAAGAGAGCTATTTGGAGAAAGGCCACATGGGGGCTTTAGCTTTTCACAAAAATGTACAGTAAACCATAGCAACATGCAGGAAGACTCCAGGGAAACCATACTTTGGCCCGATTCTCCCACCTTTCCATTTCCTGCCCTAACTTTTTTCTGTTAGTCAAATGCAATGAAAAGCCAGAGAGCAAGCATGTATGTACGAAAACTCATAGGTCAGTCTCCCTGAGTGGCAAAGAACCAAATATGAAACCAGAGGGCCAGGCAGGCACATTATCTCAGCATCCATTCTTGTCTTGGATCAAGTGAAAATATAGCACCCAAAATAGGAAACAGCGTATCATCAACTACTATATAATTAAATGCGGTCGTATTCGAATCTGAACACTAAAATACACTATTCTTCATATAAGAGAACGGAAGAAGAAAGGACAACTAACAAAAGTATATTGATATACTTCTGCTTTTACAGCTGTTCACAAACCCTAATAATCACAGATTGCTCCTCTCTCCACCATTCCATTTTCACTTCGCCCTCTGCCAGCACCTCAGTGAGAATATCTTTCATAGTGACTTAAACCCTCCTTCCTGTAGAAAAGAAAAGCTGATGATGCTGCCTCTCTGGAGTTGATGCAATTATCCATTAATGAGACCACTGGCAAAGGGATATTGCAAGGTGATCCCTGAAATGCCTTGGTCCTCTTACAATCCATCCACCTAACCCCACAATGTAGCAATGGGGGGCCCAGATCAGTCTTTTCAGCCTTCTCCACCTTGCTGTCCAACAAAGAACATTTCTTTAGAGCAGATTGTTTGGTTGGTTGGTTGCTTGCTTGCTTACGCTTTGTTGAGACAGAGTCAACCTCTGTAGTTCAGGCTGGTCTTGACGCCACTCTGTAGCCCAGGCTGGTATCAAACTTGCTGCAGTCCATCTTAGGCTCCTGGGAGGTGGGATTACAGCATACAAAATCACACCCAGTCAAAAGCAGATTTTAAAGAGAAATTCAGTGACTACAGTCTCCTCAGAGATAATAAGACTTTGGTCTTTAACTCTTACTATCCTCTCATTCCCCTCATTTAATTTAAGTGTATTTACTCTAATTTTAAACTCCTAACCTCCTTCAGAATAAAAGCAAATCTCAGTCTTTTCAATTCATATACAGAGCACTACATTCTACCATATAATAAACTATAGATGAAAAATCACAACTAAATTCCTTTTCCAATTTAGTGAATATGAGCCACACATAACTTTTGATTGACAGACAACCCACACCCATTACTATGTGAATATCACAGTAATGGTCACAGATCAGCTTTCTTTGGTGACATTTCTTCACTTTGTTTATAGACTCTTGCCTGACCTGGCAACAGGCCTTCAACAGAAGCTACTGCTATCTTAACAAAATGAGCCACATCCACTATTCCTGGTGTTTATTCCCCTTCAGTGGCTTCTCATCAGTTTTAGAACAAAACCCAGTCCAGTTCAGCTTTCCCCTATTCACCATGGCCCACTCTCAATCCCTTTGTTCTTTCTAGAACATGTCAAATTTGCCCCATCTCACCGTTTATCTCTTGCCATATTCCCAGACAGTCATATGGCTCATGCTCTCACTCTGCTCAGCCATTTCCTCCTCCAAAAGCCTTCCCTGATCTCCTATCTAACATAATTTCTCATGTCCTTGTGTTTCTTCACAGCACTACTCAGTGTGTGACATCATTACAGGTACAATAGAATATAAGTTCGGTGAAGTGAGGGAATTTGGGATGTTCAAAAGCAAACTCATGGTTTAAAGTTAGCACCCAATAAGCACACACTGAAAACTAAGTGCATGGGCAAAGCAGGTAATTGACAGGGATACACAGTAATGAAACCTGAATGTGGTGATGGGATGGAATTCATGGAGGAGATCTGAGGAAACAATTTGATAGGATGATCAGGCAGGTCTTTCAAAGACAGGAACATTTGAACAGCAATCTGAATGAAGAGAAGGAATGACCTCAGAGCCTTGGAGGGAAGATTGCTCTGGACATAGGGAACAGAGGATGAAAGCCTCCTAGGCAGAAGCAAGACTGATGTGGGTCAGGACCATCCCGGAGGCTGTGTGGCTGAAGCAGAGAGGAGGAGATGAGGATGGTACAAAATGAAATGAGAAAAGGGCAGGGACCATGAGACCTTGAAATTTTGTTCTCCATGTGAAGGTAAGCCACTGGGAAAACAGGAGAGTGTCCAATGTAATGGCCTTAGTTTTTGTGTGCTTGTTTTGTTTTTGTTTTTGTTTGGTTGTGCTTTGTTTTTAGTTTTCTTGAACAATTGGATTGAAAATAAACAGCAGGAGGATGTTTAGAGACTAATTAAGACAATTCAGTAAAAAGATAATAGAGGCTTAGGGAAAATTTTGCCTTTGAGAGAATGAGAAGACTCAGCCACTGTTTTGGAGTTAAAAGCAGAGGGGATTTCCCACACATTTAATGTGCAGAGTTGGGGAAAAAGAAACCAAGGCTGACTCTAGCTGTTTCTGAAATTTATCTGGAATCCTAGAAAGGTTTGATAACTCTCCTGGAAAAACTTTCCAATTTTAGAGATACATATTCCTAAAGTTATGACTCAGATTTTAAAAGATTTCCAAAAACAAATATAAGGTAAAATTTTGTTCATACCATTGCTCTGGTACCGATTTGAAAGAGGAGAGGAGAAGGTCTCAAATATCTTATGGCAGAAACAATTGTAGTTCTAAGTCTCCTAAGATACTCAGTATGAGTATCTTACCTAATTCAGCATCAGACCCACAAGTATTGACTCCACGTTGCCAAAGTGATCCACAGTTAACCCGCAGGCTCTTCCTGTGCTCTGTCTCCCCACCAGGCTTGATTCGATCCTGCCAGAATGGTGAAACCACTTGGGAGTGTCTTGGGGAATAAAGTCCTGACTCCACCTTCTTTAGAAAGAGAAAACCTTAGGCATTTTGCTTCTGCCATGTGATATGGACTTTGACTTTCTATGAAAACTTACAATTTCTTTAAACCTTGTCCCCCGAAGTACAGCTTTAAATGCAAGTACCATTTCTACATTCTTCTAGACAGAAATAGGCCAAAGTTTATCTTTACCTCCACTGTCTCTGTACCAATGTGCATATTTAAAAGATGTACAGCTTTCCCTCTTGTGTATTTCACAATACATTGCCCATTTTCAGCTATACGAGTTGTCTACAGAACTAAACTACACTCATAGGAAAAGCTCTTCAAACAGTCAGATTCCCTGTTCCTTTATTGCCTTGTTTATAAGGAAACTGAAGAATGCCTTACCTAATAACTTTCATTTACAACTAAAAAATGTACTTGCTACAAAAATGGCTACATATATTTCTCCTAAGTAACTTTACTTGCTAATTTTTCTACAGCCTGCCAACAATGTAGATAGGTTTTTAACCAATGTCCTGCCTTTTTCCTTCAGAATTATATGAATAATTAACATAATACATCTATTTAGGCATCACAGCAGAGAGCCTTGAAAGCAGACCTTCCTCGACCTTAGAAAATGCTTCTCAACCTATCTTTGATCTGGTTTTCTCATCTGTGAAATGCGGACACATGAAACTCAATATTCTATCTCAATAACATAGAAGTAGGACCAACAAATTTGTACTCTCAGTTTTGGAGCTTTGTTGGATGTTCAGTTGGCTCATTGCATTTAAGCTTGCGGCACCACCTTACATGATGGTGCAGAAAGCTGACAAAGCAAAGTTGCTCGTCTCTTACTGGGGATATAAAAATAAGGGAGAATGGAAGAGGCTAAGGTCTCACTATCCCCTTTATGTCACACTCCCAAAAATCACTGATTTAGCTTGTCAGTAGTTGTCCCTCCAAAGCTTCATGCGATCATAGGTGAAGCTTCTCAGAGTTGGCTGGATCTAGGGTGTGTGATGCTAGGATTAAGAGTGTGTGACGACTAAATTAGTCCACTGATTGGTTTGGTATTCTACTGGAACAGGATAATGGGGAGCCCCAAACATGATATGAGTGCTACCTGCTCTAAGGAAGGATATGAAGCCTGCATTGAATATAAGGGGCAGAAAGAGTGGGTTGCTGTTGGCATTTGATTCATTGTACTCCATTGCTTTTTGGCTTTTTGTTCGCCATGAACTGTTTCTCCTCTGCCGTGCCCCTGTGCTGTGTCACCCTGCCTTGAAGCCAGACAAACAGGACCTGAAATCTCTGGAAACTGTGAACTACAATAAACCTTCCCTCCTTAATTTACAGGTGTTGGATATTTTTTTTCAGCAGTGAGAAAAGTGCCCAAGATAGTGGGCACTCCCACTAGAGCTCAAATCCTAGTAGCTCCTCTGCCTCCCAGTAGCATTGGCCTTGAGACATCGACAGTAACACTTGGGCTTTGGGGGCCATTTCAGATCAAAACTTCCTCTGTATGACACAGATAGCTACCTCATCTTCTGGAATCAAGCTTATAAAGTCAAGAGAATGATTGTGAGATGATGATGGCATTGATGATATTGAGCAAGACAAATCACAAAGCTAGAAATCTTATAATGCACATGTGTTTATTGACCTCAAATGAACATTATATTTCCATAATTATTATCATAAATATTAATATTGGCATATACTCACATAGCAATATGAATAATAGCTCTATAAATAAACCCATATTAATAAAATGGAATAAATAAAATGCATACTTATAATAATAAATAAAGTTGTAAACATAAAATATTGATTATGGAAATGAAGTTAAGATTTTTTTCTAAAGGAATGACAAATAATGTTTTGTGGAAAGAGATAATTACTTTAAAATTTTTTTTTGTATAAAACACCAGTTAACCATTAAATATTATCAGTGAACCTCTATGTTTACAAGGTTTACCTTCTGGTATTATGGAAAAAGCAAATTTGGATTCTTTTTCTTTGTGTGAAATTCATCCAAAAATTGAGCTTGCCTTCCCATTTTCATTTAGTAAAAAAATCCTTTTGACATTCTTATTTTTAACAGATGAGAAGGGTTCCTTCATTTTCCAGCTTTACTCTTTGGGACACAGGAATTTTTCAGGGCCATAAACAGCAAATCCACCTCGCCAATTGCTTTGATCTCTCCACTCTCTCCAAGCTGTGAAAATAAGAACACAGATGTATCTGAGTCTTTACGCTTTGTCTTTTAAAAATGAGCAAGTTAGTGAAAGGAAGCATGAATTAATTGCTGAAGACAGAAACCAGGAAATAACTTTTACAAAAGATTAATGATACTTAATTAGAAAACTATAAACTATATGATTTGCCGAAGTCCTTAATATCGTGACTCTCTAGACTGAGAAGACACCAACAGGCATGGTATATTAATGTCACGTTAGCTATTGATAGGTGTGTTAATTAGTTGACAATGTATGCAAAGTCAAAGCATCATATTATGACTAAAAAATTATCTAACTCTTGCTGGTCACTAAAAATAAATAACAGTGGAGTGGAAGGAAAATGAGGCAGAGAGCTGCCCTTTCCTAATCAGACCAAACTGATTGCGTCTGTGTTAGCATCAGGGAATCCTGAATTTCTCCCCGCAGTGTGGCAGGCCAGGCCACATCACCCACCACTGTCCGTGGCCAGTTATTGACAACAACTTAACTCAGAAGCCTGAATCAAAGCCACACATATTACCTTGCATTTGGGATTTTCCTGTTCCTACTTTCAGGACAAAGAAGAGGACCAAAAGCAAGTTTTCACATTGTGAGAAAAATGACAGCTATGCTCTTTTTAGGTGTTTAAATGAGTGACTTCCAGGCCTACTTCCTAATGCCCTTCTTTCATCCTCCTCCCAAGCAGAGATGAAGCTCTCAAACTCAATGGGAGAAAACGCAAATCAAGTCCAAACTGCTGTCATACTAAATTCATTTACCCTATGAAACTGGCTCTGGATTATTCTATTAGTATTTTCTCTGCATTTATACTTTCTCTTCCTACTTTCCTCCTTCATTCCTCTCCATATTTATTTTGACTTTTGAAAAGATAGCAGTTTATATCTCAAAAACTCGAAAGACAAAATAAGAATTTCATAACACGTCCTGTTTTCCCACCTTCCATGCATGCTATGACAGCCTGTCCTATGCTTTCACCTCCTCTGACAGAGAATCTGCACCTCCCACAACTGGCCGGTTGTTCCAGACAGCTCTGACCACTTGTTCCCACCTTGAACTTTCTCTAAAGAGCATTCCTTGCTCACGTCTGTTTTTTGTTTGTTTACTTGGTTATTTTTGGGGAGCTACAGGAAAAAGCAAAATTACTCTTGCACGTGGAAACCCATTGTCAAAATGAAAGCTAAGGGATTAAAGGGAAAAAAGTTTCTTTTCCCACACAAATCTGATATACTATGAGATTATTCTCTTTCACCCTTCACTGTTCTAAAGATGACACAATAAGCTGACATCAGAGATCTTTTAAAATCAGAAGTACAAAGGAGTTCTTATCTCTGGCATGCTAACATTCAGCTCTCTGTGTCTAGGTAGTAGCTCTACAAGAGGATGCATTTCTGCAGTGAAAAACTACAAAGCCTACAGTAATCAAAGAAGAGTAGCCATGTTCATTACATTATGCTCAGGAACACTTATCAAAATTAAGAAAGTAAAGGGAGAATTGAGGCTACGGGCATAAAGTGAGAATTCCATCAACTAGACAGAGCCTTCCTATCAGTCAGTATTCAGTTACCTGGCAGGCAAATACGATCACTGTCTCTGGCCCCACTGCTGCCACTACTCTAGGTTGAGGATGACTCATAGTTGCTAATTGAACCTGCTACTGCTGTTCTTCTCCCCCATAGGCCACAGAATGGTACCATTCACTGCAGATATGTGCAGTCACCCTCAGACATAAGAGCTCATGGGGATTTGTTGAGGAAGGAAGAAGGACACATTGTAGAAAAGAAGGTGAAAAAGATGAGGAAGAAAATAAGAGTTCCTGGTTCTGACCTCCATTTCACTATGATAAATCCATGACTAATAATTTCACTCTGCTGACAACCGTAGAAAAGAAATTCATCGTTGTCTCCTTCTGATTTTAAATTGAAATCAGTAATTACTAGGTATTGTATTATAAAAAGGAGTATCATGGACCCACTATTCCACAAGTTTATCTTATACAAAATACCAACATTTTCAATACTATTCTACGTTGACTTTTTCCAGTTTTAGAATATCTAAATATAGTTTGACAAATCGCTTAAACAGAATTTTAACCCAGATATGTTTCCACTTATGAGCAAGTGTTTTTTCAAATTATACAGGTCAATATGAATCTGAAATTCCTCAAAGAATTACCAACGCAAAATCTAACACAGGGCACCTGCATTTCAGCCCTGGCTCTGCCACCAGAAGGAAAAAGAAGTCAATCCCCTACTGATAGAAATATTGCAAATATTTGTCAGTATTACCTTTTTCACTGTGTCCTTCAGCTGTTGCACATTCCTCTGGATATGCTGGTTGTCACCGCTGATATGCTACAATATGAAAGAAAAAGTAAGTCTTTTGGTTTTGTGGATGCATTAGCAACCCCAGCCTCATCTGAAACACATGACAATGCACCTGGAGTGGAAGCTTTCAGTAAACTCACCCACGATGACCTAGATTCCACTAGTGACCTAGATTATCTCAGAAACCAAAATCCAGACACTACAAAGAGCCTTGCGCTCTTCAAATCTGGGAAATCCTACTGAGGTTCAAATCAATGGCAAGAATCAAATAGATAATGCCAATTCTGGCAGAAGTAAATCACTAATCTTACCATGCCAAAATTGTGTGCTGAGAACAAGAAATGTCTCCAAACTGCAAAATATTTTATGTGGAATGGTACCGATTGCTGGGTCACCTTCTCTGCCCACTCTACTCCAAAATTCTTCATAGTTTTCAGCATTCAGAGGCACTGAGTTCTCATGCTTCCCATTACATAGAAAGCAGAGTAATCTTTTTCCACCTACCATGACTAGCCCTTCCCATTCCTCTCTTTCTTTCCTACACTCTATGTTTACTCTTCCCTCCGATCAACTAAAAAAAAATAATCCTACATCAAAACATTTTGCATTATGGCCCAAGGATGTTGTTCATCATATGCAACCTCACTTCCTTGCTCTCCACAAAGAAAACCATATCTCTGACAGACACCTACCACGACTATAAACACAAAATGTGCCTCAGTTAGTGAAAAAGTGAAGACTCAGCTATTCCAAATGAATCATGAAAACAGTGCTCCTGAGGCCTTTATTACACCCAACATAAGGACCAAGCAGAAGGGCCAAGGAGTTGACTGAATGGTCTCTAAATGGGAGAAGCAGGGAGGTCTCACACAGGATGGATGTGACCTAAAAGAAGGACTTACACATAGGCTGAGCTTTCTGCTGAGGTCAGCCAGGAAGGGCACCACCTGCTCCATGTAGGGCTGAAATCGATCTGATTGGGGGAGCAGCACTTCTTCAAGAGTGAAGTTCAGCACCTGTTTCATCAGATAGCAGCGATCTCTAATCTGCAAGGGAATGGAAGAAGCAGGTGTCACACTGTGGGATACCCAGAGACCCTTCCACCATTACAGATAACCAGTGACCTGCTCAGAACAATAGCTTACATTGACTCCTTGGAACAGTTTGTCCCCAATGAGACGGACATCTGTGTTGTTATCCTCAAGGCTGGCCTGCAAAAGAGAACACTAACTGCCTGGACATAGAAGCAAGAGAAGAGAACCCTGTATGTGCCTTCTCCTCTTTCCAGAGCAACCTCAGAATAAGTTAAGCCAGAATTCACATACGTGCATGAGTTCACATCATTGTACAGAAGAATAAAGGATAAATTAATACTGTAATTTAATGACCACTAAGAGGCTCTTCTGGAAAACCTCAATATGTGTTCTGAAGGCAGAAACCAAAAGAAATCTGATAAAAATGAAATCCTCAAAGTGATTTTGGAGAGATGCAGAGAATTATCTGTGGACATAAATGATGGGTTCCTAAAGAGCTCAGAATGCACCAAAGAAAATTTTAAGAGCTACTTAGCTCCCAAGTAGAGAAGAGAACAAGCAAGATTGAGAAGAGCACCTCCTTGGCGAGCATGAAGGTATAGTTGGTGATGTAGGGCTCCTGGAAGTTGTGGAGCCTGCAGTGGGCGCCCACAGGCACGCCTGCTCCTCCCTGCAGTGCCAGGGCAATAAGAAGGACACAGCTGGCAGCCACAGTCCCCATCAGGGAAGAGCTCGCAGATTTCTGCAGGGCAGCCATTGCAGACAACTTGAAGTGAGTGACCGACAGCTGGGAAGGACAACCTGGTAGCAAGAGAACAAGAGAGAAAGCCAACATCACTCAAGCAGGTTCACACCAAACGGACCCATTGCTCGGGTTGCTGAACTACTCACCTGAGTCGGTGATTCTGCTTGTGATGGGGTGGTAGACGCGGCCGCTTTTATAGCCCTCGGGACCTCAAGCTTTTTGTGTTGTGAAAATTATGACATCAGCAATTATCTAATTTCCAGTACTGGCTTCTGAGAACTACCTAACCACCACAGGAGCCCACAAAACACCACCTCCTGTCTCTCCCACCTTGAGATGCGAGTGTTTCCCTGATACGTCACTATTAGGAGCCAGAAAGTGTCTTGGCCAGTAAGTCCCAGAAATTTTCTACACCCTACATATTTTTCAAAGAAAACAAATGCTCTGCCTTAGTCAACTCCAGATTTACTTCATTATTCTTTGATCTTCTCTGGTAACTGAGTCAGCATGTTGGCCACAGACACATTTTCCTACCGGCTTGATAGACTCCTGTCTGCTTAGAGTGACCAGAAACAGAGGTCTCCTGTCATGTCCACTGCTTCCCAGTAACACCCATTGACACCTTGGAGAGCATTCTAAAATTTTAAGTAATTTTATCTCACATTCTAATCTGAATATGAATATTGAATCCCAAACTACATTTGTGTTTTTAAAATGACCCTGGTGGCTACTCTAGGAGCTGTTTTTTTCCCATTCAGATTCTAAGTGATCATAGTAAGTGTATATAGTTGTGAATATAAAATTTTAATTATGGAAGTGTGACCAATGTCAGATTAAGGTTAGAGCTACGAATACTAAGTAAACTAATCACCATTCTCAATATATATTTTTAGTACAACAATATCTTTTGAATGGTAATTCATTTTGAAATTTTATCTATACTAATTTTAAGTAACATTCAAATACCAAAAGACCAGTTCCACACAATCTTATAATTTCATTTATTATCTATGTGGACATCCAGTAAAGAGAAGCTGAGAATACAGTGATTTCTTATTGATTTTAAATATTTAAAAAATATATTGGTTCCCAATTAAATACTAAAACTAGACTGGAAAACTTCCCTAGAAGTGAGAGAAGAGAGCCAGTGTAACTGTCAAAATGCTCGTCACCACTGCCAGTGTGAATTAGCACAAAATAGTTTCCGCAGATTTTTTCCACTTAATTAATTAAAATCTGGATTCCAACAATTGTAAAATCTTGACCATAGGAGAGTTGACACAGAACTGAGAGAGGTCCCTAACCAAAGATTTAGAATAGTATGAGGACACTGACCATTTGAGGAGACCTTAGAAGAAAGGAAAAGTGGAAAAGAAAACTGTTTGATCCCATAGATTTTTGGAATCAAAACATGTGAAACTGTAAAGCAGCATAGGATAGTGGTTTTCCGCAAATGAGGCAGGAGATTGTGGATATACGGATCATAGAATACACAATTTCACAAAAGGAAAAATTACCTTCAAGAAATCTGTCAACAGTACTGAACAACAATATATTATGGATATAAATTTCTCAAAGCATAAATATTGTATCCCGTTAACAAAATTATGTGGGGGCTGGGGATTTAGCTCAGTGGCGTAAGCGCCTGCCTTGCAAGCAGGCAGTTGTGAGTTCGATCCCCGGTACCAATAAAAATGAAAAAGACAAAAAAAAAATTATGTGAAGACATGTTAATTTGCTTGATATAACATATATATATATATATACATATATATGTATTACACACCATAAACATACACATTTATTTTCAATTAAAAGTAAAATAAAATCCTTCTAAATTTAAACAAAGTAAAACAAATCCCTGGACCTCTTTGAAATGCTTCAAACACTTGTTTAAAGTTTTTCACGATCCCAAAAGAGATGAAGAAGCTCATTCTTTTCTGCTTTTCTGTTGTATGGTAATTTTTGTCTAAGTTATACAGAGCTCAGCATAATAATGTTAACACTAGATTTCAACTATTTGGTGAGTTAAATAGGCTTTTGCTAGCTTGTCTGAGAAACTGATGAGGATACGGAACTCGGCATCCATGGGAAAACACATTTTGACATGGCTGAATTACATGTATGTGAGGGAAGTCTCTATCTCTTCACCTTGAAGCTCCAGCACTTACAAAAGTGGTACAATATTAGGAAAGGTAGAGTAGCAATGTATTGGATGAACAAATAGATTTGTGCATTTCAATAATTTACTACCTTTGGGACCAGAGAGGTGATCTGGGAACTCCCTTAACAGTACTTCTAAACCTGGGGTTTGATCTGCTCCTACTTAACAACTTCAGTAGTGAATACATAACTGTGAAAATAAAAATAAAATGCCAGAAAATTGCAACATACTCCTTCATAGCAGCAATATATCTCTCATCTATTACATCCCCAGTAGAGCAACCATTAATCAGAATGTGTTAATGAATCCAAGATCTTACGTTTTCATGAGCTTGACTGGATCTCACTAACATGAAAATCTCTGGAGCTATCTGTACATTTCAACAGTTATAGCAACAGTCTCAAAACTATTTGGTATTAGACAAGAATATAAAGTACTACTGCTCCTGTGAAAAGAGATTCCAGAGACATGTGATAAATTCAGGTCTGCTTCCTTGTGAATGTTTAAGTCTCCTCCAAAGCTGAACCCCTTGAAGCACTGCCCCAGCACCACACTCCCAGACTGCACCCAAGGCTGATCTTCTCACAGAGGCTGCTTTGGCTGAAAAGCACTGGCTGATTCTTCACTTGGACCTATACTTGCCTAATGAGTTATTAAAAGCAATGTAAATCTTAGCATCTCTTCCTTAATTTTGTGTTTGTTGCCTCCATTATCTTACCTTGGGGCTAGACTTCTGCCCAGCTCTGCACATAGGCATATTCATCACTTAAGGAATGTCTTTCTAAAAATGAGTGGTTCATAGTGAAATTAGTCCTAGGTTTACATAACCTTCTTTTGAAGTCTTGTAATGTCTCCAATGTTTTGTTTTTATTGGTTTTGTTCTTTACTGTTTTGTTCAATTTTATTATAACTGATGATATAGGCAATTCTTTTTAAGATAGCAAGAGGCATAAAGGTAACCATTGTTGATCACCTTGTATTCTGTTTTTACATCATGTACTATGACCATCCTTTTGATTTGACTCTGTTTTATTATGTCACATTTGGTTTTATTCTCTTCCAAAAAAAAGTAATAAGAACTGTGGGAGTAATAAAACTCAAAATGTGTAATTGTCATTATACAAAAGAGGAAAAGAAAGTGCTCTAAAGGAGGATATAACTGCATGTATATTTAAGCGTATGAGATAGATAATCATATTACTGAGTTTTTGTTGGATCATTGAACAGAACTGTTTGCAGTCTCATTGTTTGAATGTCCACTTTATATGCTTTAATTTTATCACTTGAACAACTTTTTCTAAGATGACAATATGTAATCTATTAACTAGTGATAATTACTGTTTATTTTTTTGAAATTCTGTGTAACTTGTACCCTTTTTTTGTTTTTTTTTTCTTTTTCTCCTTAAATAAAAAATTTTTTAAAATGTTCCTGGCACCTAATTCATTTCCAAATTCATTGCCTGATACTTGGAAAACCACAAATGGAATACATTCCCAAAATATAAATTTTTATAGGAAAAAGCTGTTTTTTGTTTCTTAGGTAACAAGGTTTATATTCTTCAAACTTCTCAGCCCAGTATATATGACCATTTTTCCTTAGAAGTGTGTGTGTGTGTGTGTGTGTGTGTGTGTGTGTGTGTGTGCATGCATGCATGCATATGCGCACCCACAATTTTCCCTCCCCACCAAACACCTATCATATCCCTACATGTGCCAAAGATCATGGCTCTCCTATGCATATCTTTAGTATGTAGTTTTGAATATATACGCAATCTATACAAGGTAGTATTAAGTGCTTTTAAATTATTGTGCTTCATAGACAATATCTGCTTAGATTTCCACACAGCGCTATGTTCTTGCGATATATGTACAGTCTGGATCCTATGTGTAGCCGTTGGTTCTACTCTGCACTTCAGACAGTGACCACATTTTATACATCCCTTTTCTTCTTGATCGGCCCCTAACGGTCTCCTAAAATGGTCCTCTAAACAGACAACACCAAGCAACGTGATTCAAGTGCTTTTCACGGTATTTCTTGAGAATTTTTTAGAATATTTACCCACAAGTAGATACACAGATTATGAAGATAAATTTATGCATTTTTTCTGAGTACTACCAGATTGTTTTGTGAAAAGACACTATGAATCTACTCACTCATGTAAATGGACCGAGTTTTCTGTTTGCACTACCATAGATGGCATTATACAGTTTTAATTTAGCTGTTAGTGATTAAAAATTTTGTCTCATTATTATTTCAACTTACATTTTTTGCCATATATCATAGCTACTTGTAGCCACTTTTTAACAAATTGACAACTTTCACTCGTTTTTCATCTTTCTAAGGGATTTTGCTCTTTTGTTGTTCTTGTTGATTTGTAAGGATTCCCTGTAGTTTTTAGATATCACTCCCCATTTTCATCAAGATATAACAAACTCTTTCCCAAATTTGTGTTCTATCTACTGCCTTTGCTATTACCTTTGTATTTGTTGCATAGAAAATTAATTTGCATGTCATCTAAATCATTATCTTTGTTTTCTACTTTTGAAGACTTTTAAAAACCTCCCTTCCTTCATCACAAGGATATACTTATAATTCACCTTCCATTTATTCTTTGATTTTATTTTTCATAATTTTTTAACATATGGATGGAAGATAGACTATAGTTTTGTAATTCTTCAAATGGTGAGTCAGTAGTCCCAATAGCGTCTGAGAGGATGAGACTTGTATCACGTGGGAACTTCTCTCATATAAATGTTACTGTTTTTGAGTTCTCCATTTTGTTCTATTGGTTTATTTGCTTTTGTCTTTGAGTTTTGGACCTCACTCCTTAATATTTTATTAAGGAAAAGCACAGGCAATGTGTTTCAAAATGTTCTCCCTGGGGTGTT